TCTTATAACTTTTTATCGCAAATTTTTGGTCAATAAATTATGCCTATTTTCGGTGATGGGCGTAATGAAATTGGGTGAAAAACCAATTAAATACTTTTTCTTTTTTTCTGAAAAGGGTTACGTTACTATTACCAATTAATGCTGATTTACTTTGTTCATATGTTTGGGGTCAAGATGAGCTTTAAAGAAGAATGAAAAAAAGAAAACCTAATAAGAAAAATTTGTTGGAATTAAATGTTTATATTGAACTGTAGGGGGGAAAAAAAAAGTTTTTCTGGTGTTTTTCACTTAAGCAAACATCAAATAATTTTACTAATGGAAATTGTTTTCATATTGTTCCCCTTTTCTTTTTTTTTTCTTTTTTTTTTATTTCAATAATTTCAGGAAAACGGTCATACATCACAGCACAGTTACCGTCTGTACTGATTTCGGAAAAAAAATTTGAGCATACATTTGGTCCATTTTGGATTTATCTTACCGCAATCAGTTTTCATATGATTGCAGCTGGAATGATGTGTATTATTGGAATCAGCAGACGGTATATAATTACAGATTTATTATTTGAGGCATATATCTAATTTTAATAGTTTTGTTTTGTTTTGTTTTTGACTACATATTATAAACTTTTCAACTGTACAGTTGATGAAACTCAAAAATAGCAAGAGGAGGAAAATTTTTTAAGGAAAGAAGAAAGAAGAAATTAATAAATTTGTATGAGTGGTGTTTTTTAGATGTTTAATTTAGTGTTAATGTGGGTACCCACAGTAATGGGCAATATTTTTTAGGGCCATAATGGGAAACAATTGTTATTTTTGGCACTTCTTTTTTTTTTGCCATTTTTTTTACCTGAAATATAAATGAAAATTTATTGTTCGAAAAATTAGAAGAAGAAGAAGAAGAAGAAGAAGGTTGACATTATGAGATAATGTGCCATTGTTGTTGCTGCTTTTTTTTTTCTATTTTTAACCATTGTGCTTATAGATATTTGGAGTATCTGTCAGATAAACGAGAATTCAAAACTTTACAGTGGAAGTCAACTTCGTCGTTACAATCTGTTTTGCAGACTCCATCATAACTTACTATTTGACAGTTTAGAAAACAAAAAAAAATTTGGCTTTTTTTGCCCTTATATGTTGTTTTGTGTACCACAGCAACAACAACAATCATTCATTGTTCTATCTAATCAACCAACATATGTGTCAACAGTACCTGTCTTCCAGCTCTTGTCTTCTGAATAAAAAAAAAAAAAATTTATAAGGAAGTGTTGTCGTTCTGTAGTCATCTTCACAGAATACGGAGAAAAATCTTGTGTTATTTTTGCAACTTTTATTATTATACTGTCTTTAGTAACGTTTAAATTATTTCGACGTTGTATTGGGAAGAAAAAAAAAAAAGGGAAAAGCAAAGGGAACCTGGTGGCATAAAAACGGTAATAATTGAATACATAGAGTGAAATGTATACAGAAACATTCGTCTGAAAATAATCACTGGGAATTTAAACATCATTGATTTGTTAAAAGTAATAATGTTTAAAAAATCAGTAATAAAGTGAAAAAGTGAGTGAAAAAAATAGCTAGATTTTTATTTTTTTCACACTTTTGCTGGTATTATTACTATAGTATTGGTATACCATATAAAAAGCTATCAGTTATTGGGATAATATCAAAGGTTTGTTGTCACAGACATCCAAATTTGATGCCAATAATTTACTTCAATTGAATCTATTTGACAGCTGAATGACTGCTCTATAGTTATAACTGTCAAATTCTATTCACCTGCAGAAAAACAGTTAACGATAAGCACAGTTTGTTTAGTGTTTGAAACGATTGATAATGGTGAGAAAGAAAAAAAAAAAGTTTATTAATCACATTTTAACAAATGTAAATATTAAATAATTATTTTACAGTTTAATAACAATGTTTATTTAATGGATTATGCAACAGATATGTTGTTTGCAACTTTACAGTTTATCACTGTATCTTATTGTCAGATCTGTATATTAACTATAGTAAAATCAATTGATTCAGTTAAAAAGGAAAACAATTAGGTTGAGCAAAGTTTGCTGTTTTAGTATTTCCTTTTCCTCGTCACGGAACTATACAAGCATCTGAAACCTTATACAGCTTTGTGCCCGAACTACAAATTTGCTAAGTATTTTTATCGTTCGGTGATACAGTATCCACACATTGGGTCACCACACTACTAATTGAATCTGCTCTCTCCTCAGCTGGTTTATCTACTTCGTCTGCTGTATCATTGGGGAGTTCAGGAGTAGGCAGTTTTATCACAATTGGAATTGGTTGTTGAATTGCTGTTTTTTTATCTTCGGCACTGTAAATTAAATTAGAAGAACAGCTTAGCAAATACTGTTTCATTTATTACTCAATATAATCAATGCTTTTTGAAATAAAAATTTTCTAAGCGTTTAAGCATTAAAAATAATTTCAGTGAAGAAAAAGTTTTATAAATTTGAATATATTGAAAATTCAATACCCAAACCAACGTTTGTATTCATCATTCGCTTCTTCAAGATTTTGACTGCAAGACAGTGCTGCTGTAAAAATTAATCTTAAATACTTAACTGCTATACGGAGGAACAGAGTGTGTAATATGTAATATTTTAAGGTATCTGTTTTAGTAGAAACAGTTAACACTGACATCTGTGTCATTTCTTAGTAATAACTTACATTCACTTACTCCATATTGCTTTTTAAAGGCAGTACATAGATTAGAAACTTTTTTAACGGCTGATTCTCCTTGCCACATTATTGCAACAATTAATTTGATACCGGTATTAGGTGTTTCATTTGACTTTTCTGTCCAATATCTCTAAAATGTAAAACAAGAAAAAAAAAAAAGAAAGCTGAAAAATATGGAAAAAAATTTGCATTAATTTTACAAAAAAAAAAAGAGTAAATAGTTGATTCAGTTAATGGCAAAATTTGCAAATAGCTGTATAGAATTCAAAAAGCAATAGTTTTAAGATGGATATGAAATATGTAGAAATTAGAATAAAAATTATCAATGTGATAACTGTTTGCATAGTTCACATATTTCAGAATAAATACCTTTATTGTACCATTAGCAGCAGTTATTGTTTTTATACATATAACATTTAAATTGGATTCTTCAATAAGTGTTATAATTTTTCCCAGTAATGCATTTTGTAACATTTCATCTGAAAAGTGAATATAAAAAAAAAAAAAAAAAAA